CCTAGAAATAGTATGTAATAATAAATATGGAAGAGAGAGTAAGATGATCTATTGTTTCTGATTGGAATTTAAGAAAATAGAATGGAGAGAAAGTAATAACTACTTAATGAAATGGAAAAGAACAAAAGGCTTGAAATTTTAATCAGTTACTGGGCCCGCTCGAGCAAATCGGTGATCAACGGGAGGGCCTTTACCTTTTTACCTTTATAGTTGTATTTAAGAATGTCTTACAAAACACTAGAATGTTTACCTATTACAAGAAAACATCATGCTTGCTAGATTGATTAAATCATAAATTAATGACTTAATAACTCCCATTTATAGCTAATAGGATTGTAAATGGGTACAGTTTTTGAAATAGACTTGTCATTATCTAGTTAATTGAATTTGTATGTATAGTAAGTTCACTCCTAAGCATATACCTTAGACAAAATATACCCTATTGTATTTTAGTTAAATCTGGAAACAACCTGATTATGGAGTTGCATTAGTTTCTTACAACTATAACGAACTACTATAAACTGAGTTGAGCTTTAAAAGAAAAGCACATGCAAACAAATTTATTACAGTTTTTAAGGTTGAAAATGAGTCCTATAGGATCATGGGTCCTGTGGGATTAGAAGAAAGGTGTTGGAAAAACTTCATTCCATTTTGTTCTTCTTGTTTTTGTTTTGAGGTGACATTCTTTATTGAGAAATAATTGATACAGTTTTAGGTTTGTAATGTAGAATTTGATGTTTGCATATATTGCAAAATGATCATAACAATAAGTCTAGGTGAGAGCCACTCACTTATATCATTTTTCTTAAGACTTTAGCATAGGATTATTTGTTGGTTTTTTTTCAAGTGCCTTGAGATTGTTGTGGTTCTTTTTTTGTGGCCTCTTCCTTAATCTTCAAAGCCAGCGTTGTTGCTCCGACTATGACAGCCCTCTCTCTGGGTCCATCTGAGTAATCAAGTATCATCTTGCCATTTCAAGACCCTTATTCACATATACAGGGTGGGTTTTTTTTTTTTTTTGCTAAGTAAAGTAACATTCACAGGTTTCAGGAATTAGGGTACGGCCATCTTTGGGTGGGGAGTAATAATTCTACCTGCCATTGAATTACCAATAGAAAAATTCAGTTGTAATATCCTCTTATAATGTAACATAGCAGGGAAAATGAGTGAGACACTCTGAAACTTATTATTTTGGATAGATGTCATAATCAAATTGTTAACAAAAGAAACACACAACAGAAGAATTTGCAAAGATTCTATTAAGTTAAAAACTTAGTGAAGCCTGTAAGTATATTGTTAGGGACATGTCATGTGATTAAATTATTTTAAAAAGTAGAAACAGTTATCAAACATAAGGTTAATTATCTCCAGGGTAGGGAGAGAAATGTAATTAAATGCTTAAAAATACTTAAAAATAATTTCATTTTTATATTTCAAATGCTTTATGATTGGGGCTGAAGAGATAGCTTAGTGAGCTCCAGCACAGTCTTTGTGTGTAGAACACCTAGGATTGTCCTCAGCTCACCATGAACTCGCAAGCTCTTCCAGGATTCACCTCCAAGCACTAACTCAGGAGTAATCCTCGAGCATTACATGTTGTGACTCTAGAACCAGAATACTCATTTTGGGAGGTAGAGGGTTAAACATTGTTTTTTGTCATACTAGAAGTAATCTTTAAGAGCTAGAAATATGTACATGGTATATTTAATGAGCCCCGCCCATGTCACAGTTCAAGTATTTCTAATATATATAATGATTTGCTTAGTAAAAGACAGTAATTCAAGATAAAAAAGGATAGTCAATGGATCAAGCTTTTTAACCATTTTTTTGCAAGTTTGTGTGTGTGTGTGTGTGTGTGTGTGTGTGTGTGTGTGTTTGCTCTTTTATTTTCCCCTCTTTAGGAATTTAGAGTTTGAAATTTTGTAATAAGCTAGAGAAATATAATAAAGTTTTATAGTGACGAGATTATCATTTAATCTTGGTAAGATTGAGTTTTCTTTGTAAGTAGAATCACAAAGGCAGAATTCTTGATAATGATTTCCTTGTTATTTATCTCAAGTTAATATAGCTTAAGCTGTCTGTGTTGTTCAGATTTTGTGAACACTTTGTATTCCTGTGGGGAAAGTATGAGAAGGAAAAAACTGGGAAGGACTGATTTTCATTTTGGATCATTCTTTGCATATGTTTTCCCTAGGGATCACATGAATAATCAGGCTGAGTTCCATTTTAAATTTGTTTTGTTTGGGGGCCATATTTGGTGGTATTCAGAGGTCACTTCTGGCAGAACTTGGGTTGGAGGTCACTTCTGGCAGAATTTGGGGGTCCATTTCAGGTCCATTCAGGTCTGTTCAGGTATCACTTTTGAAGGGGCTCGAGGGATCATATGGGGCCCAGGGATCAAGCTGTGTCAGCAGCGTGTACACAAGCCAAGTGCCTTACCCACTGTACTCTCTCTCCAACGCCTCATTTTAATTTTTAAATTTAATTTTTCATTGAATTAACTGTTTTCATACTGTTGTAAAAATTAATAGCAAGAAATGTCATATATCATATATCCAGTTTCTCACAATGGTGTCATTTTGAAAAAATATAGTCAATATTAGAACCAGGACATTGATATTAAACAGTTTATTTATACACAACCCTCTTTATTTTTTGTGTATTTATGTATATTCTAAACTTTTTTTTAATGCCTGAGATTTTGAACCTCATGAATGCAAAACATGTACTCCTCCAACTTTCTATACTTTTATCACATGCATGTGTCCAACACCGTATGCAAGATTTCATCCCTGGAAGCCTATATCCAAGCCCATTAGGGGTGATATCTGAGCACAGAACCAGGAGAAATTCCTGAGTATAGGCTGGGTGTGGACCCCAAAAACAAAACAAAAAATAATTTTTTTAAAAAGGAGAACATGTATTTTATTTATAAATATTTTATTTATTTATTTTTCTGCTTTTGCGCCACATCCAGTGATGCTCAGGGGTTATTCTTGGCTCTGCATTCAGGATTTACTCCTGGTGATGCTTGGGGGACCTTATGGGATGCTGGGGATTGAACCCAGGTTGGCCACGTGCAAGGCAAATTCCCTACCAACTATACTATCTCTCTGGCCCCCTGAGAACATGTACTTTAAAGTGTGATTAAAGTAGGGATTAAGTTTAATTTCTAGTTTAGAAAATGTGTTTTTTTAACTTGTTATCTTAATTCCTTACACTTAATCACTTAATCACTTAATTTCCCGTTAGTCGTCGATTTGCTCGAGCGGGCGCCAGTAACGTCTCCATTTGTCCCTGTCGCGTGCTAGTGTAGCCCAATGGCATCTCTTCGCTCCGGGAACATGGAGGGCCTCAAACCGATCGTTCATGATCTTGACAAAGAAGTCTGACCATCTGGTAGGTGAGCGGCCACGCGGTCTCTTGACATCCCGTGGAATCCAATCAGTAACAGCTCTAGTCCAACGGTCGTCTTTAAATCTCATTATGTGACCAGCCCATCTGATTTTCGACACCTTGGCATATGAGAGAGCGTCCCTGATCCTTGATCGTCGACGGATGTCAGAACTCCGGATTCGTTCTCTCATTTGAGTGAAACGTGATATTCCAAGCATAGCTCTTTCTATTCTTCTTTGGGAGACCTGAATGGCGTTCTCATCTTGTTTGCGTAGGGCCCAGGTCTCTGAGGCATATGTTAATGCAGGAAGAACAGTGGAATCAAAGAGATGTGCCCAGAGCCGGAGGTTCTTCGTCCTCTTAGCTATTTCTTCTACGTTCTTGAAGGCGTTCCAAGCCGCTCTCTTCCTCCTGCGCAGCTCGGGTGCCAGGTCATTTGTCATGTTGACCTCTCGACCTAGGTACACATAGCTGTTGCATTCGGAGATGGTCGTTCCATTGAGAGCGAATGGGGCGTCAGGAACAAGGCTGTTTCTCATAAACATTGTCTTCGTAAGATTCAGCTGTAGTCCTACCTTTCCACACTCACGGTCAAAGTCGGCCAGCATTTGTGCCGCTTGGCTGATGTTTGGTGTTATTAAAACAATGTCATCAGCAAAGCGGAGGTGGTGTAGTTGCCGACCATCTATCTTCACTCCCATTCCTTCCCATTCCAGTCGTCGCATGATGTTCTCGAGGGTGGCACTGAAGAGTTTCGGTGAAATGGTATCACCCTGCCGCACCCCTCTCTTGACATCAATGATCACTTCTTTGTTCCTTACACATAAAACAATATAATAGCTATTTCTTAGGATATTTAAAAAATAAGTCAGAATATGCAAGTCATTCTTGTAACACCGTGCATTTCATATAAGTATTTTGTAAATGGCGGTCTCAAAGAAAAATAGAGTCACTATAATAGTATTATGATATAAAGTATAAATCTTGTGACATTTAAGGTAGTCTTGGAAGAAATTGCTCAAGAATTTCATTGACTACCCAGATTTTATATTTATCTCCCAGACAAGGGAGGTACATTCTATAGCTTTCTTTTTTCAGAATGATATATGACATAGCTAATGCTATTTTTATTTAATTGACAGTAATAAAAAGTGACTAGTGTTATATAGTCTTTTTGGTACCCTTTCCTTTTGTCTTTTCTGCTGTTACCCAGATGTGTACATATATGGTTATGGCTATAATGCACATTTTGCTGTAGTACTTGCCAAGGGTCTTACACCTGATGGCAGTGCTCACATCCGTTAGTGTAGTATTCACACACACTTGATTGTGGTGTGCTGAGATCACACTTTTTATGGCATTGGGGATCCCAACAGCAGAGCATCGGGAATTGAGCAGTCTCAGTGGCCTCATGATTCCAAGGGAGTCACACTCTCACTGGAGCTGTCCCTGGGCTCTATGTTATGAATCTAAATCGAAAAATACTAGCTCACTTGAATGACCAAGTTATCTTTTTCTGTAATAGCTAAGATTTGTTATGGTTGAAACATTCATTTGCATATTTAAAATAATTTCAAATAATTTTAAATCCTTCTTTATTTTAGGTAACGGGAGTCCTGGATGATTGCTTGTGTGATATTAATAGCATTGATAACTTCAACACTTTCAAAATCTTTCCCAAAATGAAAAAGTTGCAAGAGAGAGATTATTTTCGTTATTATAAGGTATGCTTATATGTTTTATTCCATTAATACCAAATATTTTTCCACAGATATCTATAGATGTTGACTTTTATGACCCTTTGAAAACCCATTTTGACTCAGCACCCTAACTATATATCTCTTCTCACTGAATGTATTAAGTACTGTAGTGAAAAACCTGTTAGTCCATTTGAACAGTATGAACCTGAGGCTTCTTCCTAAAAATGGTGAATTCCTCATCTTTCAGTGTGGACTTTGCGGTAGGCTCTTCCCTTTACAGAAATTGAAAATGCAAGGGACTTAATTTGTCAACCTCCTTTGTAATTCAGTTTCTGTCTTCTAGGCCAGTGTTTCTCAATCATTTTCAACTGTTTTCTTTTCTCGATTACTTTGACCTTTTTTTTCACTTCTCACTTCCCTCTGTGGTCCCCTAGCATCTTGCTGTGGTTCTTATTTAACCAGTAAGACTATTGTTTTTCAGCTATTGCTTGTCCACAGACTGCTGTTAGTCTGAAACTATAAGAAAATTAGATACACTCTTTCCCACTCCTTTCCCTGTATACCTTATTCAGTTTAGAACATCGTTATCCTAATAAAAATCCCCCCACCCTTTTTTTTTTTAGCTAAACAAGTTGTCACAGGTTAGAATCTCTGGGGTGCCAGCTTGGGCAGTGACTAATGTAGAAGAGGTTAATTAGGGAAATCTCTGGGAACCAACAATTTAGGAAAAGAAGGGAAAGGAAGGAAGTCAGGATTGGGCAAAAGGAGCTATAAATTGAAGCCTCACTGGGGAAGTGACCATGACCCAGAGGGGAATTCTTAAGATGTACAAACTTCCATAGCTGTTCTCTTGAGAGGGGGAGGGATCTTGACCTTTATATCCCTACATCAACCGTCCCTGCATCAAAGCCCTAATTGTGACGTTCGGCAAATTGGCTCTTTCCAGTTAGGGTTAATAAACCCTTGAGTCCCAAAGGGTGATGTGATCAGAGTCTGTCACAGCCCATTCCTGGCACTCAGGAATTGCTGAGAGGCACAGTTCTGAACATGTTCAAAAGTTTGAAGTGCCTGTGGATGTCTCTTAAAGATCTCAAGGAGGCAGCTAGATACACAGCGCAGGAACTCAAGGGAACTTCTGGTTTCCCCACATACCCAGCTGTTTTAAGTGTCTTTGTCTTTAGACATCCTAGTCTTTCTGCCTAAAAATGTTTCTCTAGGACAGGAGAGAGAGTACAGAAGGCAGAGCACTTGCCTTACTTGTGGTCAATCTGGCTTCGATCCCTGGCACCACCTATGGTCCCACAAGCTTGCCAGGAATGATCCCTGAGTGCAGAGCCAGGAGTAAGCCCTGGATACTCTGGGTATGGCTCAAAAACAAACAAACAAGGAACATCTTTCTCTTGGAAAGTTATGTCTCACCAAAAGAATGTATCTCTTGTCCCCATCACAGTAGGAGCTGTGCACTCTCCTTGTGCTGTTCATCTATTTTGCCTTGTCTTCTATAATGTAGTTATTTGCTCACTTCATTTAACATACTTAGGTGTCTAATATGGGCTGGAGTGATAGCACACAGCGGGTAGGGCGTTTGCCTTGCACATGGCCGACCCGGATTTGATTCCTCCACCCCTCCTGGAGAGCCTGGCAAGCTACCCATGACGTATTTGATATGCCAAAAACAGTAACAACAAGTCTCACAATGGAGGCGTTACTGGTTCCTGCTCGAGCAAATCGATGAACAACGGGAGGACAGTGCTACAGTGCAGTGCAGGTATCTAATATGTATTCTAGACATCTCTTTTATGCAGTAGGGGGAAGATAATATTGAAGTAATAACCTGATCCATATGTGGGGGATACAATAAGACTATAAGTAAGTTCTCTTCCGCGTTCAGGAAAAGAGTCTCTGCTGAAGTGGAACTTGAGGGAATCCAGAGTGAGGTGAACAGAGTGAGCGGTAAAAACATCTGTAGAAACACCAGGGCAGGCAAAGAGAACATCCACTGTAATAGGCAAGAGATCAAACGGTGGAGGGCTTTATGGAGCTGCTGAAAAGTAGTCTTCATGTATTTTAAAGGTAATAGTCGGGAGGGTGGAGTTATAGCCCAGCAGCCTGAGAGCCTGCAGGAGGCCTGGGCTCTGTCCCAGCACTGCACAGTCCTCGGAGGACCACTGGGTGTGGTGCATCCCATCACCTTCCACACAAAAAGATGGTGGGAAGCTACTGTTAGATTTTTTTTTAATATTTTATTTGTTTATTTATTTATTTTGTGTGAAACACCCTGAGGTACAGTTGTAGACTTTGCTGTTAGATTTTAAATGAGGGATTGATAGAATTTAAAATATGTTTTAAAGAGGCAATTATGTTGCTGTGTGAAGAAGAGGTAGTAGTAGAAGTAGGAAGACTTCAATTGTCTAGCCAAGAGATAAGTGGTAAGAAGGGGATAACTTGTTTGAAGGGGATAGGAAGGGGAGGAAATGAGCAGAATTTTGATTTTTTGTCTTAAGTAATTAATCTGGAAGTCCTATGGACTTACTACCTTCCAGTTATGTGAAGCATATGAAAATCAAACTTATTATTTTGTTTGTTATTTTGAGGGAGGTCTTGGGCTACATCTAGCAGTGCTCAGGGGCAGCTCTTGGCTCTTTCCTTAGGGGTGACTCTTGGGTGCTCAGAGGATTCTGTGGTGCCAGGAATCCACCTGGAGTTAATCATATCAAAGGAAAGAGCCTTAACCCTTGTACTTTTTCAGAAAATCAAGGGTTATTTTGAGAGGATGTTGGGGCCAAATCTAGCTGTTTTCATGACATACTTTTGGCTCTGTGCTCAGGAATCACTCTTGACAGTGCACAGGGGACCATATGCAGTGTTGGGGATCAAATTGGGGTCATCTACATGCAAGGCAAGCACCTAAATCCCCCTGTTCTGTCTGTCTGTCTGTCTGTCTGTCAGTCAGTCTCTACAAAAAGGAACATGTACTCCTATGAATACTACCAGGAGTAGTTCCCCTTAGCCCAAGCACCACTGGGTGTGACCCCAAAACAAAGCAAAAAAAAATACACATATATCCTGCATGATCTAGTCCTTGCTTCCTGCGTTTCTCTGCCCTCATTTCCTGCTTCCCTCTAAAAGTCAACTAAGGTGGTACTTTTCAGTGCTCACAACTGATCAAGCTTTTAACCTGTTCAAACTGAAGGCTTCCTCCAAATTTCTTTCTTTCTAAAAATATTCTCATTCATCCCAGTATACTACCTCCATTACTTTCTATCACAAAGTAGATTTTTCTTGCTGCACTAACTACAATTTGTAATGAAATAAACATGAATTTTGTGTCTCTAATTGTCGTATGTTGGATCAGGCAGGGCTTTCGAATTTTTGTGACCCCTTTTTCCCGTTGAGCTTCCATGTGATCAGTAGGTGCTCAGGAGCAGGGAAGTGCAGTGGTAGGGTGCCTGTCTTGCATGTGGCCAACCCAAGTCCTATCCCCACACTCCGTATTGGGACTTGAGCCTCACAGAAATTGTCTCTGAGCTCAGGAGTAATCCCTGAGCAATCCCAGGGGTGACCCAAAAAAACAAAAAACTTGGGCACTCAGTACACATTTATTATATAAACGGATGTGTGAGAGAACTGTGATTAGTGCAGTTAAAGTAGTTCTAAAGTACTTTCCAGGATCTTCAGATAAGCTGTGTAATTTTGATGACTTTATTCCTTTTTGAAGTATCAGAAGAGTAATAGCAGTCATTTATTTCTTAAAAAATAGTGTCTGAAATACTGCTGTAGATCTGAATTCTGTACTATCTATAATACACGTACGTATATCTGTATACATATATACATATATGCTGTAGAATATAAAAATACTTATTCTTATTCATAGCCATGTCATTGATGACACCATGGTATTTAACATTGCTGATGCTGGGCTGGCGAGAGTACAGCAGGTAAGGTGCTTGCGACATGTCTATGCTAAGATACACTTGCTAATGTTCATACTTTCTTTCTCTCAAGGTCAATCTGAAGCGACCATGTCCTTTCTGGGCAGAAGATGGTCATTGTTCAATAAAAGACTGTCATGTAGAGCCCTGTCCTGAGGTAAAATAAATTTTAAAAGGCAAACAATGGGGGAAATGGCTTTCTTTGGGCTTTTAGGTACCTGTAGACTCTTATGCTCCTGTTGGTAAAATTTGGACTTGTCATAAAATTCATTTGCTCTTAGTTTTTTTCAGTTATTGAAGATTTATTTCATATTTGCCGCCAAAATGGCTTTAAGAATACTTTTTTTAAAAAAAATTTTACTAGTGAAACACCATGAGGTACAGTTGTAGACTTACAAATTTTGTGCTTGGGTTTCAATTATACAATGACCAAGTACCCATCCCTCCACCAGTGCCCATTTTCCACCACCACAAGTCCCAGTATCCCCCCCCACCCCCATCCCTCCCCATCTCACCCTGCCTCTGTGGCAGGGCATTCCCTTTTGTTCTCTCTCTCCTTTTAGGTGTGTGGTTTGCAGAAGAGGCATTAAGTGGCAGTCATGTTTGGTCTATAGTCTACTTTCAGCATGCATCTCTCATCCTGGGAGGATCCTCCCAACACCCTTTATTTGGTGCTCCCTTCTGTATCTGAGCTGCCTTTTCCCCTAGCATGTGTGGCTGACCTCCAAGCCATGGAGCAAAATTCCTGGTACTAATCTCGGTCACTCTTGGGTGTTAGTCTCCTATTTTGTTACTTTATGTTCCCCAGATGAATGCAATCTTCTATGTCTATCCCTCTCTTTCTGACTCATTTCACTTACATGATACTTTCCATGTAGTACCACTTGTATGTAAATTTCATGACTGGCTTTGAAGATACTTTTAAAAACTCAAATTTTACTTACTTACCATGGCTTTATAGTACTGTAAAGTTTGGGGATGCAACTTCACACCTCTATATGTGTATGTCTTTCCACAGGCACTAGCAAAGCTTCCGCAAAGTTTCAGATTACTAAAATTACCTCTTTTACCTAATCCTTCTAACTCCTTTCCTTTTCACTTTGGCACCCACCACGGGTTTCACAGTGTAGGAATGAATTTTTCGTTGTGTTTTACCAGTTTGTTTGCTTTGATTGTTTATATTACGTATATTAAAGAAAGCATTCCGTATTTTTTTAACTACCTTTTTTTCCACTTGCTATAATCCTATGATATTTCTGAACTATTATTTGTTTGGGGGCCACATCCAGATATGCTTAGGAGTTACTTCTGACCCTGTGCTCAGGGGTCACTCCTGGAGTGCTCAGGGGACCTTATGGGGTGTTAGGGATCTAACCCAGGTCAGCCGTTTGCAGGCAGGCACCTTACTACTTTGGCCCTGTATTTAGGTTTGTTGGGGGTTTGTTTGTTTTAAGTGAATCACCGTGAGGAACAGTTATAAAACTTCCACAATTGGGTTTCAGTCACACAGTGTTCCGATACCCATCCCTCCAACAGTGTACATTTCTCACCACCAGTAGCCCCCATATCCCTTCTGTCCACCCCTCACCCCCAGC